AAAAAAAAAAAAAAAAAAAAAGACAAAAAAACTTTAAATATTAAATTGAGGAGACCAAGAGGAGGAGGAGAAGAAAAAAAAAAAACGTGTGGACATTAAATTGGAAATAGTCAAGAATGTAATCTGAACTTAAAGGTCAAAATCAACTTTAGCTTGCTTTTATAGAAAATATGAATCAAATGAAAACAATTATATATGAACCAGTGGGGAAATAGTGGACAATAATTAAGGGAGAAACTATAAAATATCATATAAAACAATTTATGAATATTATTCAGTAGTTTGAGCAAGATGATTGGTTGGGAAGATTTCTTATGCTCTAGAAGCTTGGAATGTTAACTATTGGTTCGTGTGTATATAGATTTTCACTTGGTTCCATTTAAAATCACCTCAAAGTCATTTTATCTCAATATTTATCCAGAAGAAGATGTGAGGACAAAAATCCTCATTTTTTAATCTATGAGTGAATAGGTTAGGTGGTACATATCATAACAATAAATTAATCCTACTTTATTTGATTGTCTATATAATTCATAGGATGTTGGTGACAACCATAGCTTGAACTCCTCACTCATCTCTTAATTATTTATGATAGAGGAGTATATTTTTCTTTGGGGAGGAGGCAAATGGTATATTTTTCTTTGGGGAGGAGGCAAATGGTGTGATAGGTGATCGTGGTCATTACAAAATATCCCACAATAAAATTTGTACTCATGTATATTAATGGATGAACCAAATTGATAAAGAAGATTTAAGTGGTACATGAAGACGATTGTTATGAAAGCAAATAAAGTTCTACATTTGCTAGGAAAAAAAAGTGAGCGTGGATATATAAGTAAGAACAACTATCTTCACTACAACGAGACTTTTAAAGAACCAAGATCAAAGCTACGATGTTTTATACATAAAGTTGACAATACTATATCATTGTGAGGATACGACTCTAAAATAAAAAAGTTTAAGGCTATATATAACACATAGATTCAAACGTTATCACAAGCTATAAATATGTCTATAATACCAAGTCTATATTACCAAGTCATATAAACTAAAAAAAATTGTATAACCTATACATTGGCACAATCAAAATATAAATCACATAAGAATGAAGTTAGGGTATCTAAGTCCAAGGTTAGGGAACAGTGAGTCCAAATGTCAAAGAATGTCTATAATAATTGAATAAGACACGGTGCTATATCTGGGTGCTGGATTTAACTGGTCTTTGAGAACAGACCCACAGAATTGGAAAGAATGGGAGACAGTGGCAGTAGCAGTAGCAGGCAGCTGATGTGGTTGTGACTTTCTGGATAACTTTTAACTTCTTTCATACCAAACCATATCCTAATCCCACGTTGCTTTATTGTTCTTATTCTCCCAACCAATTCTCACACTATTCTTGGGGCAACCTTTTCTTAATTTTCCTTTTCATTTTTTGCAATGAGGCTAAGCTTGAAATCTTAGTTAATAATTAGTAGGTTAAACTATATTTTCATAGTTCTTGATTTGAATTTATTTTTCTTAAAAAAACAAGACAAAAGGTGAATTAAAGCTAACTAAACTATCTATTTCAGTTCGGAAATTTTGGTGTTTATAATTTCACTGCTCAATAACTTTTTTTTTTTTTTTTTTATAAAAAAAACTGCTGTGAATTTATGGTCCAAGTTATATATTATATAACTTGATAAAAAAAAATTAAGAATTTCTCTATTAAGTATAATATAAAAAATATTATCAAATGAGTGTTAAATATAGTTTATTAAAGTTAAACACACAATTTAATTTATGTCCATACTGAATCTTATCATTACCCTCACACCTAACCTAATAATTTTTAGTCCTTTTGCAATTACCGCCGCCTGGGCAGACAGATTTGCATTTCTGAATTTGAAAGCTTAGCTAAACTTAATGCCAACGGCCCCACATGAAGAATAAATAAGATAAAAAGGTAAAAAAATACCAAAATTTATCATTGATGTTATTAAATTTTTACAAAAATAATTAATATATTTTTGCAACAATCAATTGCATCTAGAATTCAATCGGATAAAATAAAAAGAGAGTAAAAATGGAAATCTGAATTCCCATAAATCTCAAACCAAATACTAAAAGAAAAAAAAGATTTTATCTATCTATTTGCGAGCGAGCGATAGAGAGAGGTGAGAGAGATAAGCCTCATTGAAAAACGAGAACCTTATCCCCATCCCTCCCACTAGAATCCACGCCCACAATAATTGTAAAACATTTGCCATACCGTCTTGGCTTTTAGAAAACTTTATATAAGGCAGGCCTTCGGTTAGCTTCTCTCTCCCTCTATCATTTTTTGAGGAAACCATTCGAATTTCCGAAAATGTTAGCCATTTTTCACAAAACTTTCGCACACCCACCTGAGGAACTTAACAGCCCTGCATCTTTCAGTGGCTCTAAGACGCCTAAACTTCCTAAAGAAACAGTCAAAGAATTTATTTCTCGACACCCTCACAATACTTTCTCTGTTAACTTTGGTGAGGCGGCTGTTCTTGCTTATGTTCCTCCTGATCGTACTTCCTCTCTCAGCCAAAGGTAATTCCCGCTCTAGATTTTAATTCCCAGCTGAGCAGCTTGAGTTGTTTTGTTTTTTGGTGAATTGCAGGCTGTTCTGTGGATTTGATGACATATACTGTCTGTTCTTGGGAAGTTTGAACAATCTATGTGCACTCAACAAGCAATATGGTCTATCAAAAGGTTCAAATGAGGCCATGTTTTTAATTGAGGCCTATAGAACACTTAGGGACAGAGGTCCTTACCCAGCTGATCAGGTCCTTAAGGAGCTAGATGGCAGCTTTGCCTTTGTTGTTTATGACAGAAGGGCTGGAGCTGTTTTTGCTGCCTTGGTACACTTTCTATCTCTCTCTCTCTCTCTCTCTCTCTCTCTCTCTCTCTTAAAATGAGCAATTAATTTGGTATTAAAAAGAAGTATGGTATCATGGGTCATAAACAGGGGGCAGATGGAGAAGTGAAGCTCTATTGGGGAATTGCAGCAGATGGGTCAGTGGTGATTTCAGATGATATGGATGTCATAAAAGAAGGCTGTGCAAAATCATATGCACCCTTCCCACCTGGTAATGCTCTCTTTAACGGCAATGTTTTTGATTGATTAGGGGAGTGGGAATTTGGTCTAATTGAGAGAGAAATTTACATGAACAGGATGTATGTTCCATAGTGAAGGAGGTCTAATGAGCTTTGAGCATCCATTGCACAAGATGAAGCCAATGCCTAGAATTGATAGTGAAGGAGTCGTGTGTGGAGCTAACTTCAAGGTTGATGTGTATACAAGAGTCAACAGCATTCCAAGAAGAGGCAGTGAAGCTAATTGGGCCGAATGGGATACAAACTAGATAGATCTCTCTCTGTGTGCTCTTGATGTTTTCCCAATCTCTTTTTCTCTCCCCTGTTCTAACATCTCTCTCTCTCCAGTGGTTGTAATTTAGAGAATAAAGTTTGTGAGTGCCTTCTTACTTCTTTTTTAAATGTTAATAAGCAAGTAAATTGATGAATTCTTGAGGTATTTTCAGTAAATTAGTGAAGAAAATCATTCCTAGATGAAGCATAACTCTAAGAAGAATTATATCAAACACTTGGCGGGCACATTGGCATTTCTGTTTTCTTTATGTAATTCCTTGTAGAACTCAAAACTTAAGAAACTTAGTATGCGAAAAGCCGACTATATTTAGTTTTCTCATCCGAAAATCAACGCAAACATGCTATAATCTCAAAACTTACTCAACCAAAATTCTCAAAAGCTTGAAATCATTCAAACTAACAAGACGGATGAAGTGCGTAAGTTTCTAACCTCTGATAATAGGCAGAAAGAGCTCGATTCCTCCTCCTAGTTCTTCTTCTTGCAAAGTACAACTGTGTGGCAAAAGTGATTGCACGATGATCCCCAATCACATGCCGATACCTAATCAAACGCATAGATTATCATCAATCAAATCACATATAAACTTCCAAACATAGGGATTAAACCGCTTAAATCGCGGCAGATAAATCGCCAAAAAATTTACCCAAGTATCGATCAAAGCAGAGGGCAGAGCCCTGGTAGAGCCATGTTCGCATTTGAGGTTTCACGAACTTTGTTCACAAAATCATATGATTCATATTATATTATATATATATACAGATTCGATTTTCGCTCCTATTTTTGGCGGGAACTTAAATAAACAGTATATTAATTTGTTCCCATTAATTACAATTATAACAAATTTATCTTAAATAGAAGAAAATAGAAGAAAAATAATATCTTAAATTATAAATTTATTCTTAAAATATATTTAATTAGTTTCTTGAATTTTAAAAATGTTTATGAGATATTTAAATTTAAAAAAAAATAATATGATCCATTAAAAAAAATTATTTTAATAAACTAAAAAACACAGGTCGAATAGTTGAATTAAAAAAAAAATTAAATTAAATTAAATTAAATTTTCTATTTATTATTATTTTTTTAAAATGACTAAATGGATCGGCACAATAAAGTTACACTAAACTTTCGTTTCGCGCGGCTACGGTAGCAGAGTCGGCAACAACAACCGCCAGAGAGAACATAGACACCGAACAAATGGCCGATCGTTTCTTTCCAAACCAAATGCCACACTTCGTGGCCGAAGCACCGGCGGACGAACTCGCACCCTCCGACTCCGATATAGCCGGAGATCCACTTACTCCCTCTAAGCTTCTTTCACTGCCTCACGCTGCGCTTTCCGCTCGCTTTATACAAACCGCTCTCGACCTCAAAGAAACGGTACCTTCAGCTTCTCAGCTCGTTTCGGAATTTTGTTTGAAATTTTTTGTTTTATGATTTTCTAGGGTTTTTTTTTTTTTTTTTTTTTTTTTTTGGTCTGAGATTCGTGGTTTCTTTTAGGTCGTGAGGGGGATGTGGACCTTGAGTGAAAGGTATCCACAGGATTATACTTTGTATACTGGGGCATTAGGGACGGCTTTCCTGGCTTTGAAATCATACGTTGTTTCTAACAATGAGAATGATCTCAAATTGTGCTCTGAGATTGTGAGAGCTTGTGAGACTCTTTCTGGAGATTCGAGGTAATCTTTCGGTTTAATTGTGCTTTTCTGTACAATTTTCATTTTATTCTTTGTATTTTAGTTGAAGCTTATGGATAATCTCTGTAACTAGTGATGAAATCTATTTCAATGGAGAATTTAACGTAGAATGTAATAAGTTTGTGTTAATTTGAAGAACGGTGAGATAGTAGAGTCAACGATAGAGACTATTTGTAAGACCAAATCAAATTACAGAACTAAAATGAAACTTCTGAAGCTACAGGTCAAACTAACACAAGACAAAATAGAAGGTGAATAATGCTAATTTTTATTGTTTGAAAGTGGAGATATGTGGATTGATTCTACGTTCTGGTGAGATATTGTGCGGTCCGATATGAGTTATAAAGGGGAACGAAGCATTCTTTATAAGGGTGTGGAAATTTTTCCGACGTTTTTTAAAAAATCTTAAGGGGAAGCTCGAAAGGAAAAGCTCAAAGAAGACAATATTTGCTAGCGGTGGGCTTGGGCGGTTACAAATGGTATCAGAGCCAGACCCTTGACGATGTGTCAGCTAGGACGTTGAGCCCCGAAAGGGGGTGGACACCTAGTGAGGACACTTGGCTCTGAATGGGGGTGAATTGTGAAATCCCACATCAGTTGGGGAGAAGAACGAAACAAGGGTCTGGAGGTCTCCCTAGCAAACGCATTTTAAAAACCTTGCGGGGAAGTCTGAAAGGGAAAGCCCAAAGTGGACACCTTTGGACTTGTCCGCTAGTGGTGGGCTTGCGCTGCTACAAAATTGGTCGTTTGGATTTGATTTTAGATCATTCAAATTTAGATTCCTTTTGCAGGAAGTGGTTTTGTTTGTAGGGAAATTCTCAATTTCTGTTCAATTGCATTGCAGGCGTGTGTCATTTCTCTGTGGGCGAGCAGGCGTTTGCGCTCTTGGTGCCGTTGCAGCAAAGCTTGCTAACGACGGAAGGCTAGTGGACCATTACTTGGAAAAGTTCAAACATGTAATGCTTTTTCGCCATTGATTTTATGTTGGCTTCCGTCCATTTACTTGTGAATTTTGTGCTGTGAGAGCAGATCAAACTACCCAGCGATTTACCAAATGAACTGCTATATGGGAGAGCAGGGTTCTTATGGGCCTGTTTGTTTCTAAACAAGCACATTTGTCAGCACACGATATCGAAAACTATTATGGTATTGTCATTTTGATAGAACACTCATTTTATCTTCTTAACGTAACTCGATAAGTTGTAATATTTACCGTCTAATGGATTAAAATTTGGGCAGAGAGCGGTTGTCGATGAGGTTATAAAGGCTGGTAGACAATTGGGTAAGAACGGGAAATCTCCTTTGATGTATGAATGGCATGGGAAGAAATACTGGGGTGCTGCACATGGACTAGCTGGAATTATGCACGTCTTGATGAACATGGAACTAAAACCTGATGAGGTTGAGGATGTCAAGAATACACTACGTTACATGATTAAAAATCGGTTTCCAAGTGGAAATTTTCATTCGAGCGAAGGAAATGATTCTGATAAGCTGGTGCACTGGTGCCATGGGGCTCCTGGGGTTGCACTTACCCTCATTAAAGCAGCTGAGGTATTCATTGTCATTCTTGTCGTTAGGCCTGTATTACTAAGGATCCAAGTAACCATAGCTTCTTTTATACTCTGATAAGATGGTGGGCGGGCTCATTTAGGAGTATACTATACGCTTGCATCGGTTTAGCTAGATTCAATAATTATACGAAACTATCAGCGCTCTGAAACCATATCTTTTGAGGCCTTAATTACAGTATTCATCTCTATGTACACACACACACCAGGTTTTTGGAGACAGTGAGTTTCTGCAAGCAGCATTAGATGCTGGGGAAGTCGTCTGGAACCGTGGTTTGCTCAAACGGGTTGGCATCTGCCACGGAATCAGTGGTAACACGTACGTGTTTCTTTCACTCTACCGGTTGACCGGTGATCCCGTATACTTATACAGAGCCAAAGCATTTGCATGCTTTCTGCATCAGAATGCTCAAATGTTAATTTCTGAAGGAAAGATGCAGTCTGGTGATCGCCCTTTCTCCATGTTCGAAGGAATTGGAGGAATGGCATATCTGTTTTTTGACATGAATGAACCATCTGCCGCTAGGTTCCCAGCTTATGAACTGTGAAGTTTTTGACACTTACCTGAAATGTACAAAGCAGTTCAGCTGAACTTTGCAACGTTTTAGATATTGTAAAGTTTGTAAAAGTTGTACCTTTCTGCAGTTTGTAATACAGGTTGGTACGTGATTCACTATCGTTGCGAGAAATAGGACTCAAACAGGACATATGAGCCCTCTATCTCGTAATGTATCTAACCTGTTCGTGTGGTTTGCCCGTTTGGCCAAGCATGTAATGTTTAAAACACAAGGGCGGAAATAGAGTAAAATGTACCAAGATAGCCAGAATGTGGAACTTTGCAAGAACTGAGGCCTTTTATTAACGAGTAACTCAAGTTTTACAGCAGAAAATTTGTTTACACAACACAACATCACAGATTCCGTAGCAAACCGAAGACCATCACTTAAGAAACTTCGGACTTCAGACTTTAAGCCAATCCAACAAGCTTCTCACTGAGTTCCCACACTCTGCGAGCCTTCTCGCCATCACTTGCTTCCTGAGACAACTGGTTCTCAAATGAAGCTGAGTTCTTGTTCCAGCTCCAATACACGCCCGACTTCGTCAAGCTCGGGTCGCTCACAACCTGCATTACAAGCAACCGTTCAAATTCTTGAACCATATGATTGATTGGATGTTACACATCGTTTTCGTTGTCTATGATGAAGTTAAGTTACCTGAGCTAGTCTTTTTCCTGATTCTTCTTCGGAAACATAGCCCTTGGTGATGTACTTTTGGAATGGAGGGAAGAGCCATCTGAACAAGGGGATGTGCTCTCTGAACAAACCAGTTGTAGCAATGCATCCCGGGTAGAGGGAAGCAAATGTGATACCAGTTTCTTCATGGTACCGCCTGTGGAACTCTTGCATAGTAAGCATGTTGCACACTTTGCTGTCCTTGTAAGCCTTGGCACCATCGAACTCACCACCATCGATCATGGCCGAGCTGTTTAGGCCAGTCAGTCCTCCAGAAAGTCCCCTAAGGTCTCCAAGGTTGGCCTTAGGAGGTACATTTCCAGCCAAGGTATTAGTGTTCCCTGATCCAAAAGGAAAGGTTCAGCACCCCAATTACAAGATAGAAAACAACACGAAATAACAGGACGTACCGGTTATCGATCCAACGATGATGAGCCGCTTTGAGGGGTAATCAGATTTCTGCAAATCCTCTAACAACAAACGGGAGAGGAGGAAGTGACCAAGATGGTTAGTCCCAACACTAAGTTCAAAACCTTCAGCAGTGAAGGTAGGCTCTTTAGCAGTTGGGAGATAAACAGCAGCATTGCACACCAACACATCAAGTGGCCTGCCTGACTGCCTGAAGTTGT